ACCTTCCCAAACCTTCCCAAACCTTCCCAAACCTTCCCTTCCCAAACTTTGCCAAACCTTCCCTTCCCAAACCTTCCCTGTGCTGACAGATGTGGAGACACTTCTGTGCCTCCCAGGGAAGAATTTCTTCCCAAAATCCAACTTAAACCTGGATTTTCGACAGGTTGTTGCGGATCTTTTTCTCCCCCGAGCAGGATGTGTTCCCAGATTCCCCTTTATTAATCCATAGGGAAAACAGGAATCACCTGACTGCCCCTTTCTCGCCTTGTTTTCCCTTCCCTGGATCTCTGACCAACCCATTTATGGGTTTATTTTCCACCTTCCCTTGTCGTTCAAAGGTCTGGAGCATTTCGGGTGCAAAGATTAGAAAAGTCCTTTCCCAGCAGCTGGAAACAGGCAAAAAAAAAAAAAAAAAAAAAAAGTGCCTTAATTTAAGATGGGAATTCCTCTGGAATTTCTGGCTGTGAGGAATCATCCCTTGGAATGGCTCCGGATATTTCTCCTGCTGCAGGAGCGGGTGGACGCGGAGAGGAGGAAGGTGGTGTCCCAAATCCGGGAGCTGCAGCGGCTCCTGGAAGGGCAGGAGCGGCTCCTCCTGGCCAGGCTGGAAAAGCTGGAGCGGGAAATCCTCGGGAAGCAGGAGGGGAACATGGGCAGGATCTCGGAGCAGATCTCCGGCGTCGCCGAGCGGATCCGGGAGCTGGAGGAGAAGTGTCGGCAGCCGCCCTGGGAGCTCCTGGAGGTGGGATCCCGGGATTCCCAGGAGACCCCGAGCCGAGGGAATCCTAAATGGAACCACGGGATCATGGTTTGGGTGGGAAAGGGACCCCCTGGACCACCACGGGTCTTCCGCCATCCCGCCGGGTTTCCCCGAGTCCTGCCCCAAAAACTTCCCATAAAATTTATATTCCGAAGCTTTTCTCCCCAAATTATTCCCGGGAGACCCTTGGCCACCAGCCCCCGAGGCGAGGGAATCCTAAATGGAACCCCAGGATTGTGGTTTGGATCCAGGGAAGGGACCCCCTGGATCACCACAGATCTTCCACCCTGCCGGGATTCCCCGAGCCCTGCCTAAAAACTCCCCATAAAATGCATCTTTCCAAGCTTTTCTCCCCAAATTCTCCCCAGGAGACCCTTGGCCACCGACCCCTGAGCAGAGGGAATCCCAAATGGAACCCCAGGATCGTGGTTTGGTGGGAAGGGACCCCCTAGACTTCCACCACTCCGGGGTTCCCCGAGTCTTGCCCCAAAAACTCGCCATAAAATTCGTCTTTCCGAGCTTTCCTCCCCAAATTATCCCCTTGGGTGACCCCGGGGTCGGCCCAGGTGCCCCCTGGGACGCTGCAAACCCACCCCCGGGGCGGGTGTGGGGTTCACATCCCATCCTGGATGAGGATCCAAACTCCTCCTCCTGGGAGCAGGGAATCAATCCTGCCCCCAAAACCTGCCCCCAGGCCCTGCCCGGCTCCTGGTTTGGGATTTGAAGGAGCAGAGGAGCTCGTTAGGAGCTCGTTAGCAGCAGGAACACCCTCCTGGGACACCAAAGGGGGGGTGATGACATTAGGGAGCCGTGACCTCGCCCAGGTCCTGGCAGATCAGAGCTCAGGGATGGCCCCAAACCCGTCATTTGGGCAGAGCAGAGCCCCGGGGTCACCCCCAGGTCCCCCCCGTGGCCTCCCTGGTTGTTTGTACCCCGCTCTGACGCTGCTCTGACCTGATTCTCCATCTCTCCCTCTCTCTTTTAGGGCAGCAGAGAAATCCTGAGCAGGTTTGTGGCTCCTCATCTGCATTCGTTCCACGCTCGTGTCATTTTCCTTGTGCCTGGCGGACCCCAACCCCCCCCCAAAAAAACCCCAAAACACCTCAAAACACCCCAAAACCTGTGACACCTCCATGGCAGGGACACGTAGGACGCAACTGGGACACCCCAAAGGTCCAAGGAGGGCGGTGAAGGTCACCTCCTGCTCTGCTGCTGCCCCTCTGTGACCCCTGAAAACCTCCCTGATCCCTCAGGGACGAGTTTTTCCTCCTCATCCCGTCAAAAATCGGGAGCCAACGGCTGAAACACGGGGATTCTAAAGGCTGAGGGGTCCACCCGGGTGGGAGGGAATCTGGAATGAGCCTTTTTTTCCCCAGGCTGGAGGAGGACAATGCCCAGGAGCCAGAGGAGACACCCCCTGAGCCCGGAGAGCAGCTCCCGGGGCTGCCGCGGCACAACGTGGCCCTCAAGGAGGTGCTGATGACATTCCAAGGTAGGGAAGGGGCTGGAAGTGGGGCTGGAAGTGGGGCTGGGTCGGTGCCACCTCCAGAAATCACCTCCCAGGGGGTGAAAACCCCCGAACATTTCCACGTGGGAACTTCCCAGGGCTGAGAAATCCCGAACATTTCCACGTGGGAACTGGGGAGAGGGATTCCTTCCCTCTTTCCAAGGGATTCCTTCCCTCTTTCCAAGGGATTCCTTCCGTCTTTCCAAGGGATTCCTTCCCTCTTTCCAAGGGATTCCTTCCCTCTTTCCAAGGGATTCCCTCCCTCTTTCCAAGGGAGCAGCAAAAACATCCCCACTCAGGACTCGCTTTGGCTCCAAACCAAGTTCTCTTTGTTGTCTTTCCTCCTCTCCCTCCAATATTTCCCCTCCTCTCCCTCCAGTATTTTTCCTTCCTCTCCCTCCAATACTTTTCCTCCTCTCCCTCCCTTGCCTTTCCTCCTCTCCCTTGTCTTTTCTCCTCTCCCTCCACAGTTTTTCCTACTCTCCCTTTTCCACTTCCTTGTTTTCTCTCCTCTCCTTTGTCTTTCCTCCTCTCCCTTGTTTTTCCTACTGTCCCTCCACTATTTTCCCTCCTCTCTCCCTTGCCTTTCCTCCTCTCCCTTGTCTTTTCTCTCCCTCCCTTGTCCTTCCTCCTCTCCCTTTTCCTTCCTCCTCTCCCTTTTCCTTCCTCCTCTCCCTTACCTTTCCTCTTCTCCCTCCCTTTCCTTCCCTCCCCTCCTTCACCTTCCCCCCCCTCCCCCCCCCCCCCCCCCCCCTAAACCCCCCCCCCCCCCCCCTATAACCCCCCCAAACCCCCCCTATAACCCCCTCCCGTCCCTCCCCAGCGAGCCTGACGCTGGACCCGGACACGGCGCACCCTCGGCTGCTGCTGTCGGGGGACGGGAAGCGCGTCCGCTGGGAAGGGGGGACCCGCCGGACCCTCCCCGACCACCCCAAACGCTTCGACTCGTCCCGCTGCGTCCTGGCCCTGCAGGGCTTCACCTCGGGCCGCCACTACTGGCGAGTGGAGGTGGGGGCCGGGGGGGCCGCCTGGGCGCTGGGGGTGGCCAAGGAGTCGGTGCCCAGGAAGGGTCGGCTCCGCGTCGAGCCCCGGGGCGGGATTTGGGCCGTGGGGCAGTGCGGGAGCCGCTGCCAAGCCCTGGCCTCGCCCGCCGTGCCCCTCGCCCTGCGGGACCCCCCCAGGGTGGTGGGGGTCTACCTGGACTACGAGGGGGGGCGAGTGGCCTTTTTCGACGGCGAGGAGGAGGAGCCGATGTTCGCGTATCCCCCGACCTGCTTCGGGGGGGAGAGGGTCCTGCCCCTGCTCTGCCTGGGCAGGGGGGGGGAGTTCACGCTGTGCCCGTGACCCCCCCCGGTCCCCGTGACCCCCCCGCTCCTGGAAAATTCCCCTTTTCCCGGCGTTTCCGTCGACGAGAAGAAACAAGTTTGGGACGATCCCGATCCGAGAGATTTTCTGCTCTACCTGGGCAGGGGGGCACAGTTCGCGCTGTGCCCGTGACCCCCCCGTCCCTGTGACCCCCCTTCGTCCCCATGACCCCCCCGGTCTTGTCTTGCCCAGGGGAGGTGGAAAAATTCCCCTTTTCCCGGCGTTTCTGTCGACGAGAAGAACAAGTTCGGGACGATCCCGGTCCGAGAGATTTTCTGCTCCGGTGTGGGGTGAGGAGGAGAAGAGGGGGAAGGACCCGAAATAAAGGGAAACTGGGAATAATGGGGTCGGGCAGAACAATCTGTTGGCGCCTGGGGCCACCAGGATCGTCTCCTGGGAGCTGGGATCCATCGGGGTCAAATCCCAGGACCTGGGATCCATCAGGGTCACAACCTGGGGTCCATCGGGGTCCTGGGGTCCATCGGGGTCAAATCCTGGGAGCTGGGATCCACCAGGATCATCTCCGGGGACCTGGGATCCGCTGGAGTCACATCTTGGGGTCCATGGGGGTCAAACCTTTTACTCGTGGATCCTTTTACTCGCAGATCCTTTTTTCGCGGGTCCTTTCACTTCCCCTTTCGGGGCGGGGAGGGGGTCGGGGCCGCACAAATTCTCACCTCGAATTTTCCCCGCCGGGCTCGGGACACTCAGAACGAAACTTTCGGGCTCGGAAAAAACAACTTTATTTTGGGTTCGTGTGGGAAAAAAAAAGTCGATTTTTTTTTTTTTGGGGGGGGGGGGGGGGGGACGGGAGGGGCGCGGGGCGATCAGGGGCTCCCTTCTAAATGAGCCGTTAATTACGGGCGTGTTAATCACCGGGAAGGGGGGCGACAGGAGGGAGTGACAGGA